TTGAGACACGATTTGGTGTAGTTAGTGTTTACAGGTGGCAAAATGTTTGGATGAAGATAATATGTATATGGTTTAAAAAGAAATGCACTGATATTTGGCGATAACTGTGGCGCTATATTTCAAAGAAAAAGTAATGCTTTTTCAAAGCAAAAATTCGTTAACTTGACGAAAATCCTCCCTGATATTCAATGAAGAAGATATTCAATGAAGAAAATTCATTAATACAAGAATAAAGTAGGTTTCAAACATACTCATTAAATGAAGTGCCCGGCTTGCATGGTTGAACCTAATTCGATTTAAATTTCTGTGGAAAATTACCTAAAAAGTATCTTAGATTTTTATTCTGAAAAGATGCACAGTCTTTTTTCCTCTAAAGAAATAAGATAGCTAAAAAAGCAAAACCAGACATGAGCAACTAAAATGAGTTTAAGAAGATTGATTTTGTCATTATAATTTAATTTATTTTTAATTAAATTTAATTTCAGTTGTACTGGTTTTCGTACAAAAGTATTTGTCTTCGTAAGTTTTGCAAGTGTTCTGTAATTATCATTAATGATTAAAAAGTTGTTTTTAATCACAGGGTGAATAATGTAATAATTAAACATCAGGCAACATTTATAACGACCTTGTTACGTTGTATGTGTAAGATGAGGACGACTAAAAATTATTCAATACTATGTGAAAATATGTCGCATATTAATAATGCAGATAATTTCGGAAATTCAATGAGAAAAAAATAAAAATGAATATTCAAATTAGATTGAGGTCGTGCTCACGAAACCAGTAACTCATTAGGGTCGTAGGGACAACTGCATTAGCAGTGGTTTTTCCTGGGCAAGATAGCTTGACTGGGCCCAAATCTAACAAGGCTCGTATTGATTTCAAATGTTTTCTCCTAGATTGGTTGCCATACATGACTATAGAACACAATCTGTCCTCTTATTTACCCATAACTGGGTTAGGATAAAATCTATTAGAGTTAATAACACTAGGTTTTCTTTTCTTTTGGTTCATAAAGAGAAAAACAAAGGTTAGAAACAAAGAAAAGAGTATTGAACTGTTATGTAATATCAGTCACCTAATAAGGCAGCGAATGCTGGAAAATCTCCTCACAGATGAAGTAGAGACTTGAAACAACAGAAATCCAGCTCTACAGAAGGATACTGAGAATATCATAGGTCAAAATATCTGAGCAACGACGAAGTATTCGAAACAAATTCGAAACAAAATGGAGACTTAAAATAAGAATGAGAAAGAGACAGTTAAAATTTCTATGGTGTGTAATGAGGAACAAAAGTTTGGAAATTTTGATACAGGACCGAGTGCAGGCAAGAGTAAAATAGGAAAACATCGCATAACGTACCTAGATCAAGACTTAGGAGAGATAAAAAAAGCACACATTTTATTAAGAGCTATAAAGGATAATGGAGAGCCATGATCGCCAAAGTCCTGAGGAGTTTCAGGAAATAGAAAAAGAATGCTGCTATGATTCATGTCATGTGATGGATTTATAGAAAATTACTTTCTTAGAGTTTCTGCTAAACTAAAACTTACGTGAAATTAACGTATTTGTTAATTGTATTACATGTACATATACATAGATACAGATACAAATATATATATACACTGCGTACCAAATTATTATGGAGATAACCTTTTTCTAATATTTCAAAAACCGTCCAATCAATTCTCTAAAAGTTTTCACACAATGTTGGCAACACTAATCTGCGCAATCACTGAAATTTTCGTACTGATCTGCGCAATGTAAAGAAACTGGCGCCATATTTGTTATCAGCACGGTGATTTGAGCGTGCCAAATTATTAGAAAAGTGTAGAAATTTAGTGAAAAGATGGGCCGTAAAAGCAGTTTAAGTGATGATGAAAAAAAACTATCACTATATATATATATATATATATATATATATATATATATATATATATATATATATATATATATATATGAAAGGATGCTTCTAGTCGTAAGGAGTTACACAATTAAAGATGGTTCCATAACCTCAAAACCTCGAGTTACAGGATTAGAATTCTTGCTGTGGTATGTAATTTGTCGTCATACCCAGGAGTAAAAATTGTTGGTGTTCTTCATTTTGATATGCCATGTTAACTAAGGATGTAGGTAATCATGTCTCTCCACAATTTCTTCTCCTTTGTACCTCTTAATAAATGTTGTCTTTTCGTTATTTCTCCTAAAGCCTTTCCCGCCATCCACTAACTCAAGCTTATCAAGTATGTTCTGCTCTGTTTTCATCTGTCTCTCTTGTCTTTAATCTATTATGTGAGCATAAAATTTACCAAGACCTCCTTCTTCATTATGAGATCCAAAAATTTCAACTGCCTCTTCCTGTATAAGCTTCCTTTTTTCTTTCCATTTTGTCAGAAACCACGTCGCTGCTTATATTTTCGGTCAGCATATTTCTGTATATATATATATATATATATATATATATATATATATATATATATATATATATGATAATTAGTAGGGATAATTCAAAGAGGATATAAATCCAAAGAGAGATCAATGTAAGAACAGAGCAAATATAATATTGGCAGTGGAGTCTTTAGAAGTCCGTAGATAATAATTTATTTCATGGGATCAGGTGCCTAGCTCTTCAGATCAAAATTTTCCCAAAATAATAAATGGAGTTTACATGTATCCAGACACAAAGAGAGTATCGTCGAAAAGAGAGAAAAGGAAAAAAGTTTTAAAAATAAGACAGATTTCAAGATAATGTTTTTTTTTAGGGGGAAGGGAAAGGTAGATAAACATGGGGAGGGGAAAGAGAAAGAGAGTAAGAGAGGGAAAGAAAAGTGTTAAACAGTTGGCCTAGAATATACTTCTTTCCCGGATATGACAAGTAAAAATGAGTTATCATATTCAAAAAGAGACATTGAGATGTCTAGTCATTTCAGGCAGCGAAACATCGTTTTGCATTGTAACCGTTATAATTCCCCACCAAAATGATGATTATGATGATAATAATAATAATAATAATAATAATAATAATAATAATAATAAAGATATTACTATTAGAAAATTTTACATCAAAGTAAAGAAAGAAAAAAAATTAGTCGTAACGGCTGTTTCCATGAGGTGATTTTGAATTTCTCTATTATGTAACCTATATATATATATATATATATATATAAAGGTTACATAATAGAAAAACACACACACACACACACACACACACACATATATATATATATATATATATATATATATATATAGGTTACATAATAGAGAAACATATATATATATATCATAAACGAATTATACGCGCCTTGCAGCGTGTCACACACTTTTTCTAAGAAAATGATGTTTGATTTTAAATCATTGTTATAATTCAAGTTAGTGTATTTGGGAATCGGATGATAATGTATATTTGTAAGTGTGTGCGTGTGATGGCGTGAGCGCGTGTGTGTGTGTCTAGTAGGCATTATTTATATTTGGTGGGTGTCTGCATGTTGAATTGGGGCCTTTTTTTACGTAAACACCGGTTGTGGTAGATAAACGTAGGTTAGATTCATTCGGAATGTATTTAATAACTGTTCGTGATGTAATATAATGTTTTCCATCTGTGTTTATAGTGTGGTAAACTATTTATCATTATTCCCTCGGATATATAATTATATAGCTAACGTTCACACCGATACGAAACGTGTGATTTTGTAATATTTTTTTATTTATTAAGGGAATCTTATTTTATTTACAGATATGGAAATATAAATAGGCAAGACAGAGTGAAAAGGTGAAGATACAAAGAGTAAGTTCAAGAATCTCAAATTCCGTCGAAGAAAAAAAAAATTCCTTTCATCAAGTTATTTTAAAAAAATTCACAACTTATCAAGGTGTTAAATAATCATGGGCTAAATATATACACATATATACACTGGGTGTAACAGTAAATCTGTCCAAATCGTGTTACAGTATAGTTGTCCATTCCACAAAATGTTTAATATCTAAAAAAAAAAAACAAAAAAAAAATACTAAAGTAATTGACTTTCTTTTTTTCAGTTTTCAGATAAAATGTTTAACAATCTTAACACTTTCGTAAGAATCACTGAAAAACCTGTTAAATTGTTCAACTAGAAAAAGAACAGGTAAAAATCATTTAGTGTCAGCCATTTAGTGTCTTATCAAGTGAGCAATGGTGAGAGGGAAAATATCATTCAGGGCTTCAATAATTGTACCAAAATTCATATTCTGGCTTCCATTTTCAAAGTCCATTCAAGAACCATCAAGAGAATAGAGAATAAGTTTTATAAAGAGGGGACAATAGAGAGGAAATCTGGGTCAGAAGGTCATTACAAGAAGAAAGATCATCATTTCAACTTACAGCTGAAGAGATCAATTAGAAAAGATCCAACTCAATCAATAAGCAGTTTGGCATGAGGGAGAGGGGTGTCATGTATGACATTCAAAAAAAACAGTGAAAAAAAACTTGAAAATGAAATTGTACGTGAAAAGTGTGAAGTACATTGTTACTAAAGGACAGAACATTAGACGGTTAGAGAGGGTGAGATCATCTTGAATAAGTTGAAAATATACATGTATATAGTTGAAACATCTATCAATCCTTCATGAACTTCCGTTTCTTAGCTATGAATAATTAATCATGAACATGTCATTTTCGTTTATGATCATTTTCATCACAATTCTTCTGTCAAACTGGGAGAGTAATTATACATTTTTATTGCTCAAAGTAAAGTTCAATAGTGTTATAAAATCTCGGGGAATTCCAGTAAAATGTCTTTAATCATTTCTAAGTTACAGCAGTTCACCCTTGATCTAAAAATAGGACAATTTTGGTTTTACACTCGGTATATATTTATGTATAAATATAGTTTAACAAATTATATAAAGCTAAAAAAATATACTATATAGAAATAAACATATATCGAAAATAAACACTTTCAATTAAAAAACAAAAAACAAAAAAAAAAGTCACAATCACAAGCCAAAACTGGCTTACAGCCACATCGCCCGTTCCTCTACGATCTCCGAAGTTAAGCAACGTTGAGCCTGGTCAGTACCTTGATGGCTCACTGCTTGGGAATACGAAGTGCTGTAAGCTTGGTTGTTCAGGTGGTGTAATGGATACTGACTCGGAATTGTTAATCGTTGAGCCAAGTTCCAATTCCAGTTGGGTTCGTTAAATTCATTTACACGCAAATAACTTCGAGGAAGGTATGAATCCAACGCTTCTCCCCAGCTATGGATGAAATATTAAGACCTGTTTCAGTAAATCCATTATTATCGTCATAATAAAACAAAAATGCGTTTCGGCATTAAACAACGCAAAAATGTTGTCATGCCGATAAAGAAAAACCAATCAACAAAGAACCTACAAGCCAAAACTAAACAAAGCGAGCACCAGCCGAGAACAACTCCTAAAAAAAATGGATCTGTTGTCTAGAATATTTACAGTAAAGTTTTCGACGGATTTGGACATAAAGGTCTTCTTCACAAATTGAAAAGTTACGATCTCTCCGGAGAAAATTCTTGAATTGATACATTATTACGTAGCAAATCGTGAATTTTTTTTTTATATAAACATTTCACCCCAAGCAAGACGGGAAGCCACTAGCGCGCAAAGGGTTACAAAAGAATTTGGAGCGAGAGCAGATAGGAGTGATAGAGGAAAGGATGAGGAGAGGGATAGTGGATAGATCAAGGCAACTGGAGATGTCGATTGACATTACATTTGAATAGTTGGAGATTATAGCTATCAAGGAAACAGGAAAAGGGAAGGGTGTTCCATAGGCGAGAGGTGCGAAACATGAAGCTATTGCAGAAGAGGAGGCGGCTACATTTAACAGTTTTAACAGTGAAAGGGTGGGAGCGGGATGCCAGCCTCGTAGGACGCTTGAATTCATGGAGTCTGGGAACCAGCGAAAGCAGCTCATCGGAGCAATTACGATGAAAGTATTTGTCAAAAAAGACATAGAGAGGCGACAGCGCGTCTGTGAGAGAGCGACTGCAGACGAGATGCCAGATCGGGGCCAATTATATTGCATATTCGTCTCTGGATCTTATCAAGAACCCCGAGGCAAACAGAAGGGGCTCCAGACCATATATAGCAGCAATACTCCATGCAAGGGCGAATGGTTGGATGACATTTATCCTAAACGACTACTTTTCCAGATCATTTCGTAGTAATACGGGTGTACCCCAGGGTTTCATCCTTGGTCTTACTTTGTTATTCATTTTCATTAATGACCTTCCCGATGGCATTAGACCTTAACTTGGTATCTATGCTGATGGCACAACTATTTACTCGTGTCTGGAGAGTAAGTACGATTAACCGGATAGCATCAAATTGGCGGCTGATGTCAAAATTGACCCTCAGCCTGTAGTTAAATGAGACAACGGATGGCTTATTAATTTTAACGTCCCCAAAATTAAACTGCTTTCTATTATTTATCCGAGAGATCCCTTTCTGCCTTCCATCAGCATGGCTGATGCTAACCTCCAGAGAAGTGACTTTTTGCGCCTTCTTGGGCTACCGTTCTCGGCTTGTAGTAGGAAGACTATATTGAATCCATTGCTATATCAACTGCTAAGATAGTTGGTTCACTGTGTCATGCTAGACAATTCTTCTTTCTTACATATCGATTGATTATATATATATATATATATATATATATATATATATATATATATATATATATATATATATATATATAAACTGAATCTTTTTATATATATATATATATATATATATATATGTGTGTGTGTGTGTGTTATCTTTTTTAACATGAATCTACAGTTAAAAGATTCATGTTAAAGAGAAAAAAAAAAAAAACAAATGAAAACTACAGACAAAAGTTCATTTTCTCCATCAAGACATTCATTTCTGTAGTTTAGTGCTAACAGCAAGCAGAAATATTTCTTCTCCTGATGGTGGCTATTTTGGCCGAAACTAGTCGAGGAATCTAAATGAAATTATAATAATAAAAACGAAAGAATATTAATCTACAACCCAGTCTGTCTGAAGATTTTTAATTTTTTAATATTTTTTTTATTGTTCAATATATATATATATATATATATATATATATATAAATCGCTCATACTTAGAATATTGCTGCCACATATGGTTCGGCGTTTCTTCTCTATATCTAGAGATATTTGTTAAAATCCAAAGAAGAATCAGCAATATGAGTGGTCCTATTTATTTACACTATTTACATTGTTCGGACTATTGTCTTCCTTTTTGTTTCAGGACACACATGGCCCAGTTGATTAAAAGCGTTTATTGGATCTAGTGACTTGACCCAAGAAGTAGTGAACAAAAAAAATAAAAAATAAAAAAAATAAAATGGTGTTTAAATGGAGATAACCGAGACATCCGGAAGAGGCATAGAACGTAAAGCTAGAACAATCTACCTCGGTAGACGAAATAAAGTGTTCAGCTGGAAATTCCAATCACCTGAAGAAGACTGGAGCGTAAAGAGCCGAAACGTCGTAAATATGGCAACAAATATGGGGACAATAGTCCGAACAATGTAAATAGTGTAAATAATTACAATACTTCATCGCAGAAATATAGACAGATTATTGGTCTTGATCTAGCTTCAGTTACTTTACTTCCGCCGTAAAGTTGCCTCCCTGTGCCTTTATTATAAATACTTTCATGGTAGTTGTTCGGATCATCTTTTCGCTACGGTATCGGGATTTTATTAGCAACGAGATCTCATCAATTTACCGTTTGAATCAATGTAACCGTAAGTTTTATGATAACATTTTATTTTCTGTCACTTCTCGCTCATAGAACTCCTTTCCAGCTCCATGTTTCCAGCCAATTTTAATCTTTAAAATATTAAATGCAATGTCAATTCCTAACTACTGTATTCTTGATTACTCTTTGTTCTTTCTCTTTAGTAATTCTTTTTTTTTTAATTATTTCACTCCAAGTAACCTCTTGTATCTTAGTGGCTTTACTGCCTTGCTTGGGGTGAACTCAGTTAAAACAATATATAAGGATCAAAATTGTATTATATGAAATAGTTATAAATTTTCAAGAATTAATTTAAATTCCTAAAAAAAAGTCAGAATTCATTTCTAAATGAAAGCCTGAAAACAATTTCTTATTGTGCTTCCTACAGCAACATCGCAACTTCAGTGAGTAAACAATAATCCCTAACTTAAAAGTAAAACTTTATTTTATAGTCAATCATGTTGGCTTTTTTTTAATTTGGTGATTTTTGTAGTCTAGATGATTTAATGAGTGTATGTAGATATTTAGGTTGTTGCCTGGTGTTAAGTGGAGTCACACTAAATATCTTACTGTGCAGTCAAGTTTTATGTACTGGGAATATTTTAGCAAGATATGACAAAGTTTGGGAATGTTGGAATTGAAATGAAAAATCATGGGAATTTTGGAATTTTTCTTATCAGTTTCATAGCTTAGTATTTCTATTGTGGTTAGAAGCGTTAGTGATTGAATTTTTAAATGAATAATTTCTATTGAAAAAGTAATTGAATAGTTATGCTACGTGTTTTGTATTCCCAACTGTGAGACCAGTTACGTTTTAAGAGTAAACACTGACTATAAACGAACGATTCATTGAACTGGAAGGGTAGAAGCTGTTACGATTTAGGTAGCAATGATCATCTGTAGGTTTAGTGTATAATTTTGTGGAGACTTGGTTGGTTTTATCTGCACCAGTGCATCCAGAAACGGAATGGAAGTGGCTAAAATTTCTATAGTGAATTTGATAGGGCTGTGAAAATTGTTGATATATTATCTGAAGTCATGCAGAGTGTTCTCATCACGTGCCTATATTAATAAAAAAAAGAAGATATCACATATGTCTCTGAGAAGTTCAAAGTGGTATCTGCTTAAAATATTTCGTTGCAGGCCATCCATATATATTTACATAGCTTGGGGATATTTTCATTCCCATCGCTGTGTTTCTGATCTGAAGAAAACGGTGGTCGTTGAATTCGAAAATGTTATTGATGAGCATGAGTTTAATAATGAAGCGGATATCTTGTCTGATATGTTCCTAAAAGCCATTGCTACGTAAGAAATTCCTACAATTAAAACATCCAAATCATCTAAAAATAAAATTGTTCAATTGTTAGATTAAGCTTTGAACAATTGTATCTTAGAAATGATTAAAGATATCTTACTGGAATTCTCCGAATTTTTTCTTTTATAAGCTATTTGACTTTAGTTTGAGCAATGTAAGTATATAATTACTGTTAAAACTTAACAGAAGAATCGTGATGAAATCGATCATAAACGAAAATGACATGTTCATCATTAATGAATCATAGCAAAGGAGCGGAATCTCATAAAGGATTGAAATACAGATCGAATATATATGAAACAGCCTGTCGCCTCTGAATGTTGGTTTCAATGTTCACTTTTATTATATATATATATATATATATATATATATAAATATATATATATATAAAGAGAGAGAGAGGGGGAGAGAGAAAAAAAGCTAAAAAATCATAACCATATATAAATAGATAGATAGATAGATAGACAGACAGACAGACAGATAGATAGATAGATAGATAGATGAAAACATAAGAGAATGTCGTACAAGCAAGAAAAGAGATTTGGTTATGTGGTGAAAGCTTAAACTTTTGCGAAATATTTTAACGAAAGAGAAAGTGGGACACTAAGAAACTGATATATATATATATATATATATATATATATATATATATATATATATATATATATATATATATATATATATATATATATATATATATATATATATATATATATATATATATATATATATATATGCACCATAGATTAATGGATAGCGGCTCGAATTGAGGAATTGGAGAGCCGAGTTCGAATTCAAGTCGAATCCATTACATTCATATATGTGCTAATAATTTGGGGAAAGGTATGAATCCACTTCGTCTCACCCCAGCTATGGGTAAGTAGCAGGACAGACCGGGTTCTATATCCTTGGATGTCAACTGGTCTACCGAAGAAAGAAATGGCAACCTACTAGTCAGGTATTGAAAGATACATGATCGCCTAAGCGTGTATCACGCATGGAATATATATATATATATATATATATATATATAC